AAAATAAAATACCGTAATTACTTCGAAAACGGCAGGACTCAAGTAAAAACCGCAAAAAATTGGAACAATAGATGTTTTATTTTTGAGAAATGGGGCGAAATACAGCGTTTTAAAAACAATCTGGACGAGTCCTGTCTGTCCAGACGGCCTTTCAGACAGTTCGGAAATTTCAGTATTACGATTTTAAAATATAGACTAGCAAAACTAAAATACGCGAGTATCATTGAAAATAGTATGATTTAAGTGACAATACGATAATGCAAACAACAAGTGTTTTTATTTTCCCGAAAACGGGCGAAAATGTGGCAGTCGCAGGATAAGTATTAGTCAACCATTTGTCACCGCACATAAAATCAGCCGAGTAGTTAATTTATACTCATGAAAAAAACACGAATTGTAACTCTACATATAATAAGTGTCACCTAATAACCAATACAAAAGATGGATCAATGTAATGAGCACAAGCACTGAAAGACGTGTTGCAAACTGCGCGGCCGATTGATTGTGAGTGACGGCATACGGCTTCCTTAGCTTGGTCATTTGTTTATAACTGTAGTAACCCACGTTGCACGCTGGATGTCGTGAAATCCTTTGTTTTATAATCCAGTTGCCTGTCCCTCTCTTTCTAAGGTCTATGAATAAACAAACTAGATTTGGTGAGTTAAAGGTGTTTTGACGAACAATATCTCCATTGTATCGTTCCTATATGTTTATTCCAGGCCGACGAATATCAGGACACGTCAGTTCTTGGTGGTTTCCTTGACAACCATGACCGAAAACGATTCCTGGCTAACAATGGCAACTCAGCAACACTGCGGAGTGCGTTAGCTTATCTGCTAATGGCTAAAGTAATTATTTTAGTAGTATCTTAAAATAGAATCAATCGACAAGGCAATGTTACAGTAGATACATTATTGTTTTATACTGAATATTTATATGCACGTGGACACTGATTGGTCGTATCTATTCTACAGACTACATAAACATGCATGTGCTTTTATTTACTTGTACGTACTGTTAAATCAAATTATGATCTATAACATGTCTATCATGATGTGATATTGTTATAACTCATATCATTTCAGTGGATTCCAATCATATATTACGGAACAGAGGTTGGTTTTGATGGCGGTAATGATCCACAGAATCGCGAGTCTCTTTGGCCTCATTATGACACCAGTCATGAACTATATCAGGTGGGAGGTCATTTTCTATGATTGGAGTTGTGTTGCTGTCACGCGGTAAAGTTAATGTCGTATATAAAGTTATGTCTTTGTCACATGGTCTTATTTTAGTGTGTAGCAACGATTACAGCCAAGTATTCTAGCCGAACAAAATCAATTTCATTGCTGATTGGATAATATGGAGCAGTTTCATTAATATTAACTCGAATTAACGTTGATCGATGTCACAATACAATTCCAGGATTGGTCAATTCTAACTAACTTCTAAATTGTTGAAAATATTTATAACACGTTCATAACGACCACAGCTTTATACCTTTCACTGTATACCTCGGCAGAATTTCCACCTACTATAAACTGGTATTCAGTTCCCACAAAATCAATCACAACCGCGCGTGTTGTCAAATGAACACCGGTTGATGGTTCCAGCTCTTTGTACGCCCAATCAAATCATTCAATTTAACTGAGGTTAAATACACTTTTCGGCCTAACATGATTACGCTCTAGTTCGAAGGGGCGGCCAGGGATGGTCGGCTTCAGTGAGATGCTGTGATGTTGCAAAAAATGTTCTATTTTAGTGAATGTTACAAATTCCGACATGCTTTTAATTTATAATGTAATGAACGTTTTCGCATTCAATACCAATAGTCGATTGGAATGATTTGATTACGTAAACATAAATGAGCGAGATTATCGCATTATTCCACAAGACGAAACATTGAAACATGCAACATTAGAAGACATTCTGAGACAATTACTAACACTATTTCTTTTCACGATCTGTTTGTATTTAGCATTTCTGTAAATGTACGTTTGTCGTGCGATTTTGTGATCATCTCGCAATTCGCGTGACTTGATGTTGCATCTACCTATTTTATAAATCGGTATTACTGTTAGAGTGTCGTCTATAAGGTTTATTTCTCACTTTCTTTCAGTTTATTGCTGACGTGAATACGTTTAGTCGCAGTCTGGGTCAGAATTTCATTGACAGCGACCAGACTGAAACAACGTATGACGATGAGTTCTATTCGTTCACTAGACTGGATGTAAGTAGCATGGTGTAAATTTGTGAGTAGAAATCCCAGAATGCATCACTTGATGACACGTGCCACTAATATGAGATGGATATTAATACTACTTGGTTAAGCACGACAAATACACGAGAACATGTTACCAACAAATATACACGGCGAAAACTATAGATAAGTAGATAGAGTAGTTAATTATTTCAACTAACACAATATAACAAACACAATATAACAATGCACGTGCTTCTAGAACAATGTTGTGAACATTTATACTTCGTCTTATCTTTAAAGCGGGATAAGAACACTCGCTAAAAACGCAAAGGCTCATGGGTAGACGCTTGTTTGTATACAATGCCGGGCTATGGCCATCTGACGCATGCGCAGGTGACGACTCCCCGCTTTAAAGAGGCAATGTTGATAACATAGAATATAAGATATTTGAAATAATAGTAAGTTAAAATTTATCTTGAAATAAAAACGAACGGAGCAGTTGAAAGAATATTGTAAGCTTTTCATTACCTGTCCGTGTATAAAAATACATGAAGCATGTGCTTAAGTGTTTGTCACTATTTCATTGACCGAATATTGTTATGTTTGTGGTTTATTTCTGGGCTCACACAG